TATCGGCGAATCATGAGTGCAGATCCCAGTAAGGTGGTAATTTTGTCAGCACCGATTGTATTTAAGTGCAGGCCAAGGTCTTTAAGCACTACACCCAGTGTGCGATCACCACTGGGACCACCTTGACCAGCTTGTGCAGAGTCTTCGCAGTTCGATCTTTAAATCCTCATACTGTGTCTTTATTATTACTATTATTACTATTATTTTACTTCAGTTCCCTTTTCTATGGCTTGTACTGTATTTTATACCTTTTTGTGCTATGTATATGCCAATAAAGGCTTACTGGATTGGACTGGACTATTATTTTACTGACACAAAAGCACAGTATGTCACAGCAAACGAGATCTATATGCTGGATTTCATATCACAAAATCACAAGTCGAACACTTCCCAAGCATCTATGACTGTGTGATGTATTTTCGAATGATGCGTGCAGATCCAAGTCAGGTGGCCTTTTGCAGTTGACAGATCGTGATTTTGACAATGTTTGTTGTTGTTATATTATTATTATTATTATTATTATTATTATTATTATTATTGTTAGGCACCTTGAGTCCCCATAGGGAGAAATAAAGATATTTATTATTATTATTATTATTATTATTATTATTATTATTATTATTATTAAAGTATATGCAAATACCTCCCCCCCCCCCCCCCCCCCCCCAAAAAAAAAAAATTCCAAGAACATCTAGTCCCATGCATTTTGAAGAAAGGAAACTCAAGTTGCACTTGGGGGTTTTTTTCTTGCACTACATTTCCCAAAAGCAAAGCAGGCTGCACTGTTTTGCAATCACTGACTGGAGCAATGGTTTCAAGCTGTCTAGCACCTGCATGGGCAGACTTCAGCCCTCCAGGTGTTTTGGACTTCAACTCCCACAATTCCTAACAGCCGGTAGGGAAGTCTGCCTATGCCTGGTCTAGCCAAAAATGACTTCTTTGAATGCTTCTGAAAGACTGGAAAGCTGATCTTATGTCACCTCTAAAAAACACTTCCAAAACTCCCAATTTATTGCATTTTGCAAACAGGGATTCCCCCCGAATCACACAATTGGGGGAGAAGATAAGAAGTAGCCCTAACATACTGACAACTAGCCCACTTCTCTAGGGTATATTTATATTTTAGTAGCCATCCCCTGTTGCTGTGGCCCAGTCTGTGTATGTTTTGTGTGTAAATATTTGTGTATATGTGTGTTTGCATACATATATGTGGTTTTGCACATGCATTGTAATGTATTTTTTGTTTATTGGCTTTTTGAGTTCCCTTCTGCTGTGTTTTTCAGTGTTTTTATGAGTGATGGTCTCTCGTTGGCCTGATACATGTATTATGTCCAAATTTGGTGCCAATTCGTCCAGTGGTTTTTGAGTTATGTTAATCCCACAAACGAACATTTCGTTTTTATTTATAGAGATTGATTTGTTTAGTTTTTATTATAGGTTATGTTTTTAATTGTATTTAAGACATTGTAAGCATTGAATTTTGCCCTGTTAACCACCTTGAGTCACCTGCGGGCTGAGAAAGGTGGTATACAAATACAATCTATATAAATAAAAATGTAATGTTCGTTTGTGGGATTAACATAACTCAAAAATCACTGGATGAATTGACACCAAATTTGGACACAAGACACCTATCAGGCCAACGAATGACCATTACTCATAAAAACTCTGACAAACACAGCAGAAGAGACTTAAAAAGTAAAAAATAAAATAAAATACATTACAGCGCATGTGCAAAACCATACACACACACATATATATATATATATATATGTATGTATGTATGGTTTTGCACATGCGCTGTAATGTATTTTATTTTTTTTACTTTATATGTGTGTTTGCACATCATATATATATATATATATATATATATATATATATATATATATATATATATATATGATGTGCAAACACACATATATACACATATACATAAATATATACACACATATACACAGACTGGGCCGCAGCAACGCGTGGCAGGGGGTGGCTAGTAAATAAATCTATAGCTATAATAATAGTGAATGTTTGTATGTATGTATGCTTGTATGTATGCGGAGGTGTATGTGGCAGCTTTCTGATTGGCTGCCACTTTCACAGCCCACTGTAACCTGCACGATCAACAGACCTGGATCACACTTGGAACACATAACCCCCAAGACCCCCTTTACGTCCTGGTGAGGTTTGGGGAAAGATGGACAACGGATGATGGGACTTGAAGTACTTTCAATCCCTTCAGTTCCCACAGACCAAATACAAAAACCGATAAAGACCAAACTTGGCACACAGAGCCCCATGCACCACTCTATATACTCCTACAAATTGGAGGAGGGCGGATCATGGATGATGGGACTTGAAGTACCTTCATTCACTTCCTGAGACTGCTACAAACATCATCGAATGACTGATCAGGACCAAACTTAGCACACAGAGCCCCCATGACCCACTCTACATCCTGATGCTCTTTGGAGGAAGATGGACCATGGATGATGGGACTTGCAGTACCTTCACTCACTTCCTGAGACTGCTACAAACGTCATCCAATGACTGATCAGGACCAAACTTGGCACACAGAGCCCCCATGACCCACTCTACACCCTGGTGCTGTTTGGAGGAGGATGGACCATGGATGATGGGACTTGCAGTACCGTCAAACACTTCCGAGACTGCTACAAACATCATCCAATGATTGATCAGGACCAAACTTGGCACACAGAGCCACCTTGGCCCACTCTATATGCAGTTTGGAGGAGGGCGGAAGATGGGACTTGAAGTACCTTCACTCACTTCCTGAGACTGCTACAAACATCATCCAATGACAGATCAGGGCCAAACTTGGCACACTGAGCCCCGATGACCCACTACATCCTGGTGCTGTTTGGAGAAGGATGGACCATGGATGATGGGACTTGTAGTACCTTCACACACTTTCTGAGAACACTGTGACCCACACAAATAACTGAGAATACCAATTTTGGCGCACAATGCCTTTCCCAAAGAACCCGGGCATCACCGAGTCCCAAAGCTAGTAAATAAATAAATACATCTACACTGCACTTTTAATGCAGATTAGCACAAGTATAACAGCATTGTTGTACACTAGGCCTGGGCAAACTTGGTCCCTCCAGGGGTTTTGGACTCCAACTCCCACAATTCCTAACAGCTTACCGGCTGTTAGGAATTGTGGGAGTTGGAGTCCAAACCCCTGGAGGGACCAAGTTTGCCAAGACCTGTGGAAAGGCTACGCTGGCTCAGTGCTAGGGAACGCAGGGAGTTGTAGTTTGGTGAGGCCCAGAGGAGGCCAAACTACAACTCTCAGGATCCCAGCTAAATCATTGCAGTTACAGAATAGCTTAATGGTATGGAATGCAGCGAGTTGTAGTTTGGTGAGGCCCGAGGAGGCCAAACTACAACTTCCAGGATCCCAGCTAAACCATGGCAGGGACAGAATGGCGCAATGCTATGGAATGCAGGGAGTTGCAGTTTGGTGAGTCCCAGAGGAGGCTAAACTACAACTCCCAGAATCCCAGCTAAATCATAGCAGTTACAGAATAGCTCAATGCTATGGAATGGAGGGAGTTGTCGTTTGGTGGGGCCCAGAGGAGGCTAAACTACAACTCCCAGGATCCCAGCTAAATCATGGCAGGTACAGAATAGCTCAATGCTATGGAATGGAGGGAGTTGTAGTTTGGTGAGGCCCAGAGGAGGCTAAACTACAACTCCCAGAATCCCAGCTAAACCATGGCAGTTACAGAATAGCTCAATGCTATGGAATGGAGGGAGTTGTAGTTTGGCGAGGCCCAGAGGAGGCTAAACTACAATTCCCAGGATCCCAGCTAAATCATGGCAGGTACAGAATAGCTCAATGCTATGGAATGGAGGGAGTTGTAGTTTGGTGAGGCCCAGCATTGAATGCAGGGGAATGTAGTTTGGTGAGGCCCAGAGGAGGCCAAACTACAACTCCCAGAATCCCAGCTAAATCATAGCAGTTACAGAATAGCTCAATGCTATGGAATGGAGGGAGTTGTAGTTTGGTGAGGCCCAGAGGTGGCCAAACTACAACTCCCAGGATCCCAGCTAAATCACTGAAGTTACAGAATAGCTCAAATGCTGTGGAATGGAGGGAGTTGTAGTTTGGTGAGGCCCAGCATTGAATGCAGGGGATTGTAGTTTGGTGAGGCCCAGAGGAGGCTAAACTACAACTCCCAGAATCTCAGCTAAATCATAGCAGTTACAGAATAGCTCAATGCTAGGGATTGGAGGGAGTTGTAGTTTGATGAGGCCCAGAGGAGGCCAAACTACAACTCCCAGGATCCCAGCTAAATCACTGCACTTACAGAATAGCTCAATGCTGGGGAATGGAGGGAGTTGTAGTTTAGTGGGGTCCGGAGGCCAAACTACAACTCCCAGAATCCCAGCTAAATTATGGCAGTTACAGAATAGCTCAATGCTGTGGAATACAGGGAGTTGTAGTTTTGTGGAGGCCAGAGGAGGCCAAACTACAACTCCCAGGATCCCAGCTAAACCATGGCAGTTACAGAATAGCTCAATGCTATGTAATGCAGGGAGTTGTAGTTTGGTGAGGCCCAGAGGAGGCCAAACTACAACTCCCAGGATCCCAGCTAAATCACTGAAGTTACAGAATATCTTAATGGCGTGGAATGCAGGGAGTTGTAGTTTGGTGTGGCCCAAAGGAGGCTAAATCAAGGCAGAGGTCAAACTACAACTCCCAGGATCCCAGTTAAATCACTGAAGTTACAGAATAGCTCAATGCTGTGGAATGCAGGGAGTTGTAGTTTGGTGGGGGCCAGAGGAGGCCAAACTACACCTCCCAGGATTCCAGCTAAATCACAAATGCTATGGAATGATGGGAGATGTAGTTTGGCAAGGTCTCTCTCCTTCCCTGCCAGGCTCCACGCCTCAAGGGCTGCCAAGCGGGACCAACCCGCGCTAATCCTCCTGTGTGAACGGGCCGGCGGCCCCCTCTTCGTCTTCCTCACCTTGACGGAGTCCACGGGGTACATGACGGTGTGCTCGAGGATGCCAGCCACCGCCCCGGCCGTCATGTGCGTGCCCAGGGAGGCGCCGGTGGGCAGGCTCTCGTACTCCGCCTCCCCGCAGCCCTCGGGGGAGGAGGGAGAGGAAGGAGACGCCGGACCCGGGCTGGCCTCGGCGGGGGGCGACGGCACTGCCGTCATGGCCGCGGCCTCCACGCCGCACCTCAGCTCCATCCGCCGCCGCGCGCGCGCCTCCGTCCCACACACACTGTGAGGGAGCCCCACAGGGAAGAAAGTTCACTTCTCCAGGCCCCGCCCACCGGGACCCGGCGGGCCAATCGGAGCGCGCGGAGGAGCAGCGCCCACGCCGCCATTGGTCCCCCGCCGCGCCGCTCTGCCCCCGCCGCGCATTGAGACCACTGAAGAGGCGGTGAGGAGGTTTTGATGGACAGGCCGAACCGAGCGCGAGGAAGCGGAGGCTCAAGGATCTGCTGCGCGCGGGAAGAGGAGATGCGGCCTGGCCGGCACTCGCCGCTCTGGAAGACTCAGGGCACTTTTGGACTGACAGGACTCGATGCCGGTGGGATTCTGGGATTTGGAGTTCTTTCGTGGCACACAGACAAGGCATTACCCCCTCTCCAGGACTACAACTCCCAGAATTCCAACAGTATTGAGCCAAAGCCCTGTCCAATTGCTATAAGTTGTCTCCTGTGCTATGTTAATAGTTATATATATTATGATTTGTCTCCTGTGCTATGTTAATAATTATAACATATATAATTATTATATGCTATATATTATATGCTATGGTAATAATTATGTATATTACAATTTGTCTCCTCAGCTATGTTAATAATTATGTAATATTATATATATATATATATATATATATATATATATATGCGCTACTCTAATAATGATGTATATTATAATTTGTCTCCTCAGCTATGTTAATAATTATGTAATATTTTATATATATATATATTTATTTATTTATTTATTTGATGCATTTATTAACCGCCATTCTCAGCCCCTCAGGGCGACTCATGGCGGTGTACAGTATAAAAAGCAAGTTACAAAAAGACATTATCAAACAAGTTATTAACAATACAACAATACAACAATCCTAAAATTACACTAACTGATCCGCTTCGTCTCATAGTAGAATCGTCACCAATCTCATATTCCTTGTTCCATTCCAGTCGTCTAAACCACTTTAATATAGCACTTAATTAAATGCCCTCTCGAACAGCCATGTTTTAAGGCTTTTTCGGAAGGACATAAGGGAGGGCGCCTGCCTGATGTCCGCAGGGAGAGTGTTCCACAGCCGGGGGGCCACCACTGAAAAGGCCCTCTCTCTCGTCCCCGCCAGACGTGCCTGTGAGGCAGGCGGGATCGAGAGAAGGGCCTCCCCAGACGATCTCAAGGCCCTCGTGGGCTCATAGGCCAAGATGCGGTCTGAGAGGTATTTTGGGCCGGAGCCGTTTAGGGCTTTGTAGGCCAGAACCAGCACCTTAAATTGGGCCCGGTAGCAAATCGGCAGCCAGTGGAGCTGGGACAACAAGGGCGTTGTATGCTCCCGGTATCCCGCTCCAGTTAGTAACATGGCTGCCGCGCGCTGAACCAGCTGAAGCTTCCGGGCCGTCTTCAAGGGCAGCCCCACGTAGAGAGCGTTGCAGTAGTCAAGCCGGGATGTGACAAGAGCATGTACCACCGTGGCCAAGTCAGACTTCCCGAGATACGGTCGCAGCTGGCGCACGAGCCGAAGCTGTGCAAATGCTCCCCTGGTCACCGCCAAGTCAGACTTCCCGAGATACGGTCGCAGCTGGCGCACGAGCCGAAGCTGTGCAAATGCTCCCCTGGTCACCGCTGAAACCTGGGGGTCCAGGCTCAACGATGAATCCAGGGTCACTACTTTAATAATGATGTATATTATAATTTGTTTTCTCAGCTATGTTAATAATTATATATATATATATATGCTATGTTAAGAATTATATATATTCTAATTTGTCTCCTGTGCTATATTAAGAATTATTATATGTGGTGTTAATAATCATATATATATATATGCTATGTTAATAATTATATATATTTTAATTTGTCTCCTGTGTTGTGTTAATAATTATATATATATATATATATATATATATATATATAATATGCTGTGTTAATAATCTCATATATGCTATGTTAGGAATTATATATATTATAATTTGTCTCCTGTGCTATGTTAAGAATTATATAGATTATATATATATATATATATATACTACTTTAATAATTATGTATATTATAATTTGTCTCCTCAACTATGTTAATAATTATATATATTATTTATAATAAATATATATATATGCTATGTTAATAATTATATATATTCTAATTTGTCTACTGTGCTATGTTAATAATTATATATATATATATATATATATATATAAAATATGTTGTGTTAAGAATTATATATATTCTAATTTGTCTCCTGTGCTATGTTAATAATTATATATATTATTATATGCTATGTTAATAATTATATATATTATAATTTGTCTCCTGTGCTATGTTAAGAATTATTACATGTGGTGTTAATAATCAGATATATATATATATATATATATATATATATGCTATGTTAAGAATTATATATATTATAATTTGTCTCCTCAACTATGTTAATAATTATATATATATATATATATATATATATATATATATAATATGCTGTGTTAATAATCTCATATATGCTATGTTAATAATTATATATATTATAATTTGTCTCCTCAACTATGTTAATAATTATATATATTATTTATAATAAATATATATATATGCTATGTTAATAATTATATATATTCTAATTTGTCTACTGTGCTATGTTAATAATTATATATATATATATATATATATATATATAATATGCTGTGTTAAGAATTATATATATTATAATTTGTCTCCTGTGCTATGTTAAGAATTATATAGATTATATATATATATATATATATATATGCTAATAATTATATTATATATATATATATATATGCTATGTTAAGAATTATATATATTCTAATTTGTCTCCTGTGCTATGTTAAGAATTATTATATGTGGTGTTAATAATCATATATATATATATATATATATATATGCTATGTTAATAATTATATATATTCCAATTTGTCTCCTTTGCTATATTAATAATTATATATATAATAATATATAAATATATATAATATATAATATATTGTATATACTAGGCTTGGGCAATCCATGGTTCTAAATGGTTCTAAAGTGCTTACAAAACTAAAGTTCTGGTGGTGAAAATTTCAGAACTCTAACAAAACTTTCAAAATTTAATTATTATTTCATTATTGGTGATTTTAATGACAGAACCAATTAGGAACTGCCATTTATTATGAAATTTTGAGAGTTTTGTTAGAGTTCTGAAATTTTCACCACCAGAACTTTAGTTTTGTAAGTACTTTAGAACCATTTAGAACCATGGATTGCCCAAGCCTAGTATATACATATAACATTAATAATATTATAATGTAATGCACTATAATACTAATACTAACAATATAATATTATAATTATATATTTATATTACATGTGATATGACTAATTTATTTAATTATTCATGTCAGGAGCGAACCAAAACAGTTGTATTGCATTACAATACAATATTGCTAATAATATTACAATATAATAGTATAATACAACATAGTAATATATAATACTGATATTGTACTATGCGAATAATATAATATATTGTATGGATGTATATCTTGTAAGCCGCTCTGAGTCCCCATCGGGGTGAGAAGGGGGGGCATATAAATGTCGTAAATAAATAAATAAAATAATTCTCCCATGTGGACACAGGTACACCAGTCCCTTACCTTTATGAACTAAAACAGTGGTTCTCAACCTGTGGTTCCAGCCAATCCCTCTCCAATGCCAGAAATACAGCTTAATGGTGTGACATTAGAAAATGTTGACTATTTCCACTCCCTTGGCAGCCACCTCTCCACAAAAGTCAACGTTGACACTGAAATACAACATCGCCTGAGCTCTGCGAGTGCAGCATTTTTCCGAATGAAGCAGAGAGTGTTTGAGGACCGGGACATCCGTAGGGAGACCAAGGTGTTTGTTTAGAAAGCTATTGTACTCCCAACCCTGTTCTACATCTGCAAAACGTGGACAATTTACAGACGTCAGCATTGAGACTGAAATACAACACCGCCTGAGCTCTGTGAGTGCAGCATTCTTCTGAATGAGGCAGACACTGTTTGAGGATCGGGACATCCATAGGGATACCAAGGTGCTTGTTTATAAAGCTATTGACCTCCCAACCCTGCTATACGCCTGCGAGATGTGGACTATCTACAGACGTCAACATTGAGACTCAAATACAACACTGCCTGAGCTCTGCGAGTGGAGCATTTTTACGAAAGAAGCAGAGAGTGTTTCAGGACCGCAACATCTGTAGGGATACCAAGGTGATTATTTATAAAGCTATTGTCCTCCCAACCCTGCTATATGCCTGGGAGACGTGATCTACAGACGTCAACATTGACCCTGAAATACAACACCAACTGAGCTCTGCAAGTGCAGCACTCTTCCGAATGATGCACAGTGTGTTTGAGGACCAAGACATCCATAGGGATACCAAAGTGATTGTTTATAAAGCTGTTGTCCTCCCAATCCTGCTATATGCCTGCAAGACATGGACTGTCTACAGACGTCAACATTGAGACTGAAATACAACACTGCCTGAGCTCTGCAAGTGCAGCTTTTTTCTGAATGAAGCACAGAGTGTTTGAAGACCAGGACATCCATAGGGTTGGCTTGACGTGCCTTCCTCTACTTTGAATGGGAATATATGGTAGTGTGGACTCAGATGACCCAGGGCCGTTCCACACAACCCTATAACCCATTCTGGGATATAGGGCTGTGTGGAAGGGCCCTCGAAGTGTGCCTAGATTGTGGAATTAACCTAGTTTGACACCACTTTAACCGCTGTGGCTTAATCCAGGAGGTTGTCACCATCACTCTTTGGCCATCAAGGCTGAAGGCGTTGTAAAAGTACACATCCTATTGAAGGTCCTGAGTTTGTGCCTCAGAAATATCCCACAGCCTTAAAGTGGTGTCAAACTGGAATAATTCTATAGTGCAGATGCAACACCCCACCCCACTCCCCAGGTTGAACTTTGTGCCTGGCTCTTTTCTCTTGAACCTGTGGGCCTCCCGTT